CAAAATGTTCCTTGTTATATCACCATAACAGAAGACCTTGAAATACCCCCAGATACTGAGATCATCACATCAGGTCGATTATTATCAAGTTATTCAACAAATTGTATAGGTATTGTTGAGACCAATTCTACTTTCATAGAAAATAGATAACTACAGAATCCCTAAAGAAAGCCCAACACGGCAAAATTGAAAATGTTGCAGGCTCGGTTTGATTGAGCCTGTTCATGGACGGTACTGGAAAGTGCAAGTTACCGTCCACGCCCCCTAGCACCGGCTTAAGCAGAATTCAACATTTGAACATGAAATAGTAAAATTTTGAATTTAGAAACATCCGCAGATGTGTTCATACGGCGGTTATCATGGAACTTTCAATGTGACACTTCCGTGCCATTCCATAAAAAGCGGCGTATGGTCCCCAAGTAATATAAAGCGTGTGCCCTAAACAAGAAAACAATGGGCGGAATTAAATAAAATGGAATTTTGCAGGGGGATCAGAGGTTATGAAGCCTGCGTATCACAGATAAGACGTCAAAAGACAAATTTAAAAAGCAGGCAACATATCCTTAGGGTGATTCAACATTATTCAATTAGGAATATTGGAACCACCCAATTAGAAAATGCCGAAAAGTTGAAACTAAAAATACCACAAGCACAACAATAATGTCGTGCTGAACGATCTTCAAGGATTGAAAATATAACATCATTGACATTTAAGTGGCAACAGCATTAGTTAGACCAGAAGAAGGTTGTATACCTTTAAGACTTGCAAACTTTACTCACATGCCAGAAATGATACGCAAAAATACTAAACTAGCCATCTTAAACCAAGTTCAACTTCCAGAAGATATAGAAGTAAATACAGCCCAACAAGAAACTGACTTAAAATATCATCCTGACAAATTGCCTTCACACCTAACAGAGGTATTTAATAGATGTTCTAATGAGATGTCTCAAGATCAGAAACAAAGTTTTAAGAAATTACTGACTGAATATCAAACAATCTTTTCGAAATCTGAAGATGACATTGGTAGAACAAACCTAGTAGAGTACACTATAGATACAGGAGAAAGTCCTCCTGTCCGAACTCCACCGTATAGATTACCTCCAGCAAAAAGGAAAAAATTTCAGAAGAAGAGATACAGAAATTATTAAAACAAGACTTGATTGAACCAGCAAAGAGCCCATGGCTGTCACCTGTAATTATGGTACCTAAACCTGATAAATCAGTTCGAGTTTGTATTGATTTTCGAAAAGTCAATGCCAAAGTCAAATTTGACTCACATCCTTTACCTAGAATTGACCAATCTTTAGAGTCATTAGCAAACAAGAAATATTTTTCTAGCATGGACTGTAAGAAAGCCTATCATCAAGTTTCCTTAAATAAGAAAGATCGACCAAAAACCTGTTTCAGCATAGGTGGTGAAACATACCAATGGAAAGTTATGCCCTTCGGCATGGCCACAAGCCCAGCTGTATTTGAACGACTTATGGAGCATGTACTACATGGACTTACTTATGAAATTTGCCTTGTATATCTTGATGACCTTTTATGCTTTTCCACCACTTTTGATGAACATATAGAACATCTTTCGACAAATGTTTGAAAGACTTCGAGATGCTAACCTGAAACTGAGTCCAGACAAATGCTGCTTCTTCCAGAGTTTCCTTGGCCACAAAATCAGTGAAAATGGAATTGAGGCTTGTCCTGAAACGATAAAAAAGTGTATCTCAGTGGCCTAGACCTGAAAATGTGAAACAAGTTAGACAGTTCATGGGACTATGCAGCTACTATCGCAAAATGGTACCTGATTTTGCCACTATGGCAAAACCCACTACATCAATTAACCGAGATCAAACAACCTTTTATATGGGATGACCTCTGTGAAGCAGCATTTCAACAATTAAAGAAATTACTTACTTCCACACCTATACTTGCTTACCCTATTCAGAATATACCCTATACCCTTGATTGTGATTGTTCGAATAAAGGACTTGGAAGTGTTCTCCAACAGACCCAAGGTAATCAAAAGAGAAGTTATTGGTTATTACTCTAGATGTCTTACTAAATCAGAAAGAAATTACTGTACTACCCGCAAAGAATTAATAGCAATTGTAGAATCGGTTAAACATTTCCATCATTTCATAGATGGCAATCATTTTACCATTAGAACAGACCATGGATCACTTACTTGGTTATTAAACTTCAAGAACTGTGAAGGACAATTAGCCAGATGGTTAGAAGTTCTAGGTAACTATGATTTCACCATTGAATATCGACCAGGAAGAATACACAACAACTGTGACTCTCTAAGTAGACGTCCATGTTCCAATATATTATGTTCTCATTGTGAACGTGCTGAAACAAAATATGTAACAGACGTAAAACAAGATCTACCTGAATCAATACATGTAAATAATGTCCAAGTAAACCAGACTTCAAATACCCAATTATTCTACACGAATATGGATAGTATACGTATTGAACAAGACAATGATGACGTACTTGGAAAAATTAAGAAAACAATGGAAAATAAATGATGTGAAACCTACTTGGCAAGAAATTTCGCATGAAAACACCGTTTTAAAACATTACTGGTCAAACTATTATCTTATAACAGCGGAGAATGACATACTTTACCAGAAGATACAAACTGAACAAAACACCATACGAAAAGTAATTATTGTTCCAGAAAAATGTCAAAGACAAATATTCCAAGAAATGCATTGTACTGTTACCTCAGGTCACCTTGAGATTAAGAAAACTTTAGGGAAAATTCAACAGAGATTTTATTGGTGCTTTCAAAGGAGAGATGTTGAAAATTGGTGCAAATCTTGTGACACCTGTGGTACTCGAAAACAACCAAATCGCAAAGCCAAAGGTGCAATGCAAATATATCAAGTAGGACAAGCCTTAGAAAGAATTGCTGTAGACATCCAAGGACCATATGTAACATCAAAGAAAGGAAATAAATATATACTTGTTATTGGCGATTATTTTACCAAATGGATTCAGGCAATACCATTAAAGTCAATGGAAGCAAGCTATGTAGCAAGGAAAATTGTTGACAAATTTATAAGTAACTTCGGTGTTCCTCCTAGAACTATTCAGTGACCGCGGGTCAAATTTTGAATCAAAAGTTTTTCAAGAAATGTGTTCAATTCTTGGAATACACAAGACCAGGTCAACCGTCGGACGCCGAAACTCGGATGGAATGATTGAGCGCGCGAACCGTACATTAGAGAATATGATCTCCGCATATGTGGATAAAAACCAGAGAAATTGGGACAAAAACCTAAATCTTTTATCCATGGCCTACAACACAAGTGTTCATGAAGGCGCCCCACTGTGTTCCTCAGATGTATGTCTATGTTGTTTCATACTGTTTTGGGGACACTTTTGCTTGTGTCCCTTGTTGTTTTCTCGTCTACGGTAAGTATCTTCCCCATTGCCTCTAGTTTTTATTTCTTTGATTAACCCCCCCCCCCTTCCCCCGGTCTCCTGTCCCCTTCCCCTTTGTGGGCCTATTATTATTTTCTTTGAATTCCTAATCAGTTACAAATTATTTATCATTTATTGATTAACGTGTCGTTGCCCTGTCCTTTTTATGTTTGGGGTCCGCCTGGGCTCCTTGCCATTGGTTCTTGTTGCTGGGTCATATGGGGGTTGCGTTCATTGAACGCCGCCTTTCCTTGTTGATCTTGTTTTTCATATTTTACACCAAGTCTAATGATGTTCGGGAGAGAAATGAATTTACCTATTGACCTGGCACTCGGGAAACCTTTAGACGAAATCACAAAGTCTACAACAGAATATGTCACACATCTTGAAAATAATTTAGAACGAATACATGAAATAGCTAGACGACATCTTAAACAGTCTGGAGTCAACATGAAAAACATCTATGATCGATGAAAACATGTCATCTCCTACTTCATTGGTGATGCAGTGTGGTATTATAACCTTAGAAGACAAAGAAATCTCAGTCCAAAATTACAAAATCCATGGATAGGACCATACATTATCACACACAGAAATATTGAGAAGTCCTTTATGAAATCAGACTGAAACCAACGACTAAAGCTTTAATTGTTCATCATGACAAGCTGAAACTCTTACAAAGGTGAAAATAAACCTTCATGGTTTACTCCAACATCTTCAACACCTACATAAATGTATATTATGTAACATAATGTAAAAACGATGCTTTATCTTGTTGAAAATACATTTATATATATTTGATGTTTTGCTGTATTGTTGTTCAAACCCTTTCCTTACTGGAAAACCACTCCACTACCTTGATGTCCATACCATATATCCTTGGGGGAGGGAACTACAAAAACCCAGAACCTGAAATTATAAAAATTCAACATTGTGTCTTTATGAAATTTCCTGTTATTTCAACTATAAAATCTTGATTATGCTGTTTATTCTGCGATGAGATGTAAAATCATATACAAATAGTTAAAACCAAGGTATTTTCTACTTCCAGGAAATCAAATATGAATGATGATTGTGTGACAGAGACTACCTAAGAAGGGCAAATATAATACGACATATTCTAGAGCGCCATTTTGGAGCCTGTTTCATATGTTTAGGCTGCGGCAAACAATTTAGCCGAGAAAATGCACCACATACTTGTAAAGATGCGAATAAAGTTAGATTTGAGGCCTACAATAAAATAACAAAATTGAAAGGAAGGGAAGCAGAAAATGCCGCTACAAAATATAAATGTACAGAAATTGAAAAGGACTTTCGCATCAGAAAAATAAACAAAAGTAAATTCATACCCGAAAGAACACCACAACTAGAAGGCATAAAAAGTATAGTCATAAAAAGAAAATTAACAAATTAAGAAATAAGACCATAGAAAATACCTTAACTACAATCTCAACCTAAAACAACGTCTAATCAAACATCAACCTCTACTAAACTTTTCGACGAGCTGAAATTATCGGATGATGAAATTGAAATTACTGACATTGAAGTACAGCCAATTGAAAACATGGAACCTACAGAAAAGAAAACGGATGAAAACAAACAAGTAGAACAAACAGAAGATAAAAGCTACAATAAAACAGAAACAGACAAAAAGAGTGAAGAAAGTAACACAAAACAAACCCAGGAAAATGAACACACAACTTCAAACTGAAACATTATAACTGAAGACAAACACAAAGACAAAGTGAACACAGACAATCATGAAACAGACAAAAAGAGTAAAGAAAGTAACACTAAAACAAACAAGAACAATGAAAAAGAAAACAAGGAAAAAGAAGCAAACAAAGAAAAATGCTACAATAAAACCAAAATAGACAAAAACGGTGATCAAACAAATATAAACATGAAACATAAACAAGGAAACAAAGATGATAAACCAAACCATAAACTGATAGAGAAACAATGACAAATAAAACTAGTGAAAAGAAAACCTCACATGAAGTAAAGGTAAAGGAGTTAAACAAAAACAATGAACAAAATAAAGAAAAACAGACAGTAAGAAAATCAATTGAAGAAAAATTTGTGACAATAGACAAACACACAGAAAAACAGAAGGAAAAACAAATGGAACACAATGCAAAAACAACAAATGTGAATACCCATAAACAAAAACAAAATAAACAAGATGAAAAAGAAACAACAGAAACAAAGTCAAAGAAAACTGAAAATAACAAAGAAAACAACGAAAATGTAAACCAGAGAAATAAACAAAAAGATAACTTCAGCATATTAAGGAAATCTAAACCACAAAAAGAACAAATCACAAATACAAATTTTGAAGGTGACATATTAAAAGAAGTAATAGACAACCAATTTAACATAAGCGATACAAGAATAGTAATATCAGAATACCAAACAACACCAATACCGAGTGATTGCGAATCCAAAGAAGAAGACAGAGACGACCCATTCCAAATGGAAAAAAATAATGAAAAACTTCAACTGATTCAAAGACAACAAGAAGAATTCATTCAATTAAACATAGGCGGGACAATCTTTTATACATCAAAAATAACATTATTAAATAGTCCGTACTCAATACTCCATCAGAAGACTCAAGAAAATTCGCCTGTCAATATTCAGAAGAACTGTATATTTATAGACCGAGATCCATGCCACTTCCGTTTTATCCTAAATTACTTAAGAAATGAATGCCATATACCTACAACACTGTTCCCATCAAACCCAACAACAATACAAGAGATCCTATTAGACGCTAAATTCTACAACATTAAAGAACTCATCAAGGACTTGAAGAAAACATTAAATAAGAAGCAGTAAACTAGAAAATTGTAAACAAAAATATATGTAAAGAAAGGTCAAATCCAAATTTTACTCTTTATTACTAAGTTATAACTACAAATTCACTCTATGTTCACCTGTTATTTCTGGGGAGGGAAGAGAACCAGTCCAAGCATTTGACCTTTCTGTAACTAAAATTAACATAATATTAACAATATACTTGTACATGTATATTACACTAAGACAAAGACAACTTTTTTTTCTATTCAAACTTTAATTATTATGTAAATTAAACAAAGAATTGTTAACTTAAAAATAGGCTAGGTATATTAAATAAATATATTGTATTGTACGAGAGATTTTCTCAATTTTTAATAATACGTTGAGCCACCGCTTATTATATTGGTGCACCTTAAATATTATATATTTTAGCTAACTTACAAAAAGTTAAGCTGTGTTGGATAATGAATGTTTTGAGATATACCCTAGACTGTTAGCATAACTTTCATTCAAAGTATTCTCTGAGAGATAAGTGCAGCCGTTTGAAATTAAAAATAATTCAAATTTGGCATATTCACTCCTCTCAGCTAATCTAGTCCAATGATAGTTATGAATAAATGTAAAACGGCTCATTTTATATATGTGTCTAATGCCCTGTGATGGATATACTCCTACTTCTAAAGAGTCGTGTACAAGCTTATTAATCATTAACATAGATTCATTTATATTATGACAGTATAAAGATAGTTTTTGAGTCTTTAGTATAGTTAACGAATGAGTATTAATAATAAAGAAGATTGTTAATGAATGTATTATTATGGCATGACTTGTATAGTTCTGTGGCGGTACCCAGCCATCGGATATCTACATTAATGTGGAATACTGATGGAGGAGAAAGACTCCTAGTGGTTCGACTCCACCTTCAAGTGCTGAGAGGTAGCGGTCCTCAGTAGCCTTTTATATGTAGTATAACTACATTATGTATTGCTCCGTATTCATAAGTTTAGCATGCTTAAATTATAATTTTATGTGAAATCATTGTTGGATATCATACCATGTATACCTATGTCTAGAAGAACACTTGTTGCCAGAGAGTATCTTCACCAAAAAACAACCCCTGTCTCAAAATGTTCTACCAAACATCCTACAAAATAAAAATCTTTGTGTGAATAAGTGATTATTAAGAGTAAATGATTATCTTTAGTTAACCTTTACATGTTCAACAGTGTGTATAAATGAGTAAATGTATAGCATGTATTATTTTATATAAATTGTTCTATGCAGTGTTCATGATAAATGATTACAGTCTGATAATCTTTTAATTCATTGTGTTAGGCTAATTCAGTAATTAGAAAATTTGATATTTATTTACTTAATGATTAAGATAGTATGCTGGTACTTACCAAAAGTACTGATTCATTAAGTATGCTCCTACAAACCAATGTAAACAAATTAAAACATGTGTTTAAGATTAATACATGAAGATTATATTATAATCTCACCCAAATTCAGTTATATCAGTATGTTGTATAATTTAATTGTTTATTGATAAGGTATTTACATATATGGCTATACCATATAACTTTCATACTATGTATGTAAAACATTTCTTTAGATAACTATGCACGCAAAGCATAATTTCATACTATATATGCAATTACAATTTTTATTGAAACTAATGTTTATTTGTTTATTATTGTGACTTAGGATGAATATCAAGGACAATCAAACTTACAGTCTATGTTCCCTATCATACACATCTTTTATTTGTTATTGTTGAATTGTTTATTATTGTTATACCATGATGTATAAATGTGAAAAGCTTATATGAGAAAAGTAATTTGAAAACGCAAAAAAAATTCGTACGAAGTGAACTTCACACATGATAAATTCCCATTACTTTCTGTATATATTTAATAACTGATACTTACCTTATATCTTTCGATTCAGGGTCTGAAACCTTTGCGGGATGGGGGTAATGTTACGAAGTTCATTTCGTCCGAACATCATGACACTTTTATAACCCCGGAAACAACGTTAATATTTGTTGACAGTTATCATATTCATTCTGATTTATTAACATATGTATAATACTTAATGTTTACGCCAGTATGCCCATTTGTTATCCCTTATTTAATGCTACATAACTCATCAACCTTGTGCCATGCCTTGTGTTTCATCCATTATTAGTTGGTACTGATTAGAATTCCAGATGGAGACGTAGAATATGTTCTGCATTTAATCGAGTTAAGATGGAGACAGTGTGACGTCATCAAATAGATCACATGACCCATCTGGATACTCAGTGACGTCATTATATGAAGTCACGTTACTGTTTCAAGGGTCATGTGACCTTTTCCTATAAATACCCCAGATTTTCCCTTGAACTTTGTCAATTGTATTGTCCGCTTTACAGACGCAACCTCTATACACAATGTCTTATAGAAATCCATCTGGAGAGGTAGTACCCAGAATCATTTTATAAATATATTTCACTTATTAAAATAACTATAATAAACGTATAAATTACAAGTATTTATAAACTTGTACAGAATATTTATCTATGTAACTAAGGTAAACAAACCCAACTGGAGTGGTTTCTAGATATACACCCATTTTGACTACATGTATCATTTATATTACTGTTGACTGTGTATACATGAATGAATGATGTTGATGATGAATAAATGAGATGTTAAACTAACTACTGGTTTTCTCCTGATACAACATACCCTGACTATTGAATACCTATAGAAGTGAAGCTATAGTGATCTACCCGCTATATAGGCCTACATCCTGAGAAGTATAAATTGTAACCCGGGGACTAGCAGGCTCTCCCCGGTCCGGGAACGTAACAATATTGATACTTTGTTTCAACACATTGATAAAATGGAATCACATTTTGTAAACATTAATAAATATATTGATATTTCGGTTTCCTATAAGGACACCTGGTTTCATACATGGCTACTTTAGTTCAAAATAGTGAAAAATTGGTATCATATAATGTGATAATCAACTGCTTTATTGCTTCTCTGGTTCCATACGTTGACTAAATGGTTCATATATTGTAAAATTGAATTAATATATTGATAATTCAGTTCCATGCAAGGACATCTGGTTCAATACATGGTTACCTTAGTACCATATATCGAAGAATTGGTACCATATAATGTGAAATCAACTTATATGTTGATGCTTCAGTTTCATACATTGACGACTTGATTTTATATATTGAATAATGAATTCATATACTCATAATTCGGATTCATATAAGGATATCTGGTTCCATATATGCCTTCTTTGGTATCACATATTGAAGAATTGGTATCATATATTGATAAAATAAACTTATCTATAGCTACCTTGGTTTCACACACTTGCGGCATGGTTTCATATTTTGTCCTTTGGATAATTATAATGGTTTCCGGTTTAATAATAAGGTGTTTTCAATACATATATTGTCGAAGTGTACTTATATATTATCCACATGGTTATATTAATTGAAACAGAACAATATGAGACAGCCATGGCTTTCCACAGGCAAACATTCATACATTCATATACTACTATAGGCTTCTTTATGAATTTATGAAATCGGTGAATTCAATACACAATTTTCTTCATTATATGAAATTTTTCTTCATTATATGAAATTAAATCCACTAGAAAATATATGAATACGGCAATTAATTGAAGGTCAAATTGAAAATAACAAGTAAGGATAGTTATGTATATTAAGAGGGTGCATTCAATCGGTTTAAGAACAAAAACCTTAAAGAATGTTTAATAATTTTATTTATGTTAAACTATTTGAAGGTTTAACACATTGTACATTAATCGCACACACACACGCACGCAGGCACGCACCAACACACGCGCGCGCACACACACGCACACATGCACGCACACACACACTGAAATGTATTTGTTTAAAAAAAAACAATCATTTTGCAAAAAAATACATTGCCAATAGCCACAAAGTGCTACATAAAAGTATAAGCAGCGAATTAGGCTGAATTCTTGTACTCAGATCTACATAAACAAGTATAATTAACGTCATTTATAACGAACAATTATAAAATTGCGATTTAGCTTTTACCTATATTTGTTTTGATAATCTAAAAATTTAAAAAAATCTCCTGCAAAATTAAGTTTAAGCAACGCTTACATAGCATAGCTTCCGTGAAAATTGAAAAAATACCGATCACTTGCATTGAGGCAAGTTAAAAATGATTTTGGTTTAGCAAGTCAGATAATTAACCTGTCCCAAACCGTAGATCAATTACAAATTATACTTTATATTACTTATATTTTGAAGTCAATATGAAATCGTTACCTAAGGTTTTTCATCAACGTTGAGATGCGGGATCAAAAGTGACTTTCTTTGCAGCCAGAACTTTTTTTAATATTTGAAATTCAATCCTGTTGTTTATTAAGAAGAAATGTATGTTTACATCTGAGGATGTTTCAAAATTCAAAATTGAACCAATTCATGTTAATGTTAAATTCTGCTTAAGCCGCTGCTAGGGGCGTGAACGGTAGTTTGCACTTGACAGTACCGTTGTGAGACAACTTTCAGATAACATCACTTTAAAGAAGTGGCTACTGGTGAATTCACTTGTAAAGAAATGCGATAATGTTGACCAGTCATATAGAGGCTGGGCTTTAAAAATGACCAATTCTGTAACATCTATGCAATTTGATAAGGACTTCATTTAAATCGGACGACAACCGTAAAGCTCTGGCTACATGACTTGTCAAATGGTCTTTAAATAAATCTATTAAATCATAAGTATCTTATCATTTCTAATTTTAGATATACCATTGTTATCTTAAAGCATTAAATAGCTTAAAAATTTTGTTTGAGTTTAGTTTGTCTTTGATGAACTGAACCAAAAGTAAATTAACAATCTTTAAACGAAACAGAATTGAAACAAAGCGTGTTCTTTAAAAACATATATGGCATAGTTGTTTTAAGATTTCTTTTTGTTACATGTTAATCTTTTAATTATGTGTTTTTAAGAAGAAAAGTGCTTGAGGCTTAAATAGAAT